TGCTGTCCTACGAACACAGTGGGGACCACTGCAGTGGGGCCCAAATCAGTGTTCTCTACAAAAAGAAAAGTTCAATGGGTGCATAGGTCAGCCAACAGCATTCCTGATTTCTCAGAAAAACAAGGGGTTGGAGTAATCAAATATAAATGTTTTGGGATATCTTGTAAATTAGAGTTGTGGTGATTTGAAGATAAGAGGTTTTATCTCTGATTTCTATTTGTACCTTGTACTTTCTATATTTTAATATTTTAATGAATTTTCAATTGTTGATAAAAAAGGAAAGGGAAGACAAAGAAAAATAAACAAACATCTTAATACAAGGCATGAGCATAAGGGGATGTCTTAATTGAAATCTACAAAGAGAAATTAGTGACATTGATTATAAGGAGACATTTTCTCTTATAGAAAATGTCTTTGGCAGATAATTTCTCTTGGAAGCTATATCATCTAGATGTTAAAAATGTCCTTGAGTGGAGATTTACATGTTATTTGTAGAGAAGATGGGCCGAATGGCCCATCGGCTGTTTGTCCTTTTCTATCTTTTTATGTTCTTTGCTGTAATGGGTCTTAATTTGGGCCTTTATTTCTCTTATGTTATGTTTTTTAATTTTCTGCCCAACCAGGGCCTTTCTGTAAATTACTAATGTTTAAGTTAATGAGATGGGATTAGGGGTGTAAGAGGAGATTATGTTCAAAATCTCTCTCTGAACCCTTATTGCCGCCACCTTCTTCTTCCTCTTCTCTCTTCTTGAAACCTGATTTCTGCTACTTTCAATCGATTCTCTGCAATATTTTTAAACAGTCCTTTCTTTTCGAAAGGCTGTTTTTCTTCTTGGTATCAGAGCAGGCTCTTCTTCTTCTCTTTTTCACCTCTTTCTTTTCCATACACAGTGTGTATGGAGAACTGAATCAGATGAATAGTTAAAGAAACCTGTTTCGGCCCAGTTGTTAGTGGTTTCTAGAGAGAAGGGGACTGGTTTTGTCATCCTCTTGACAGTTTCAAGTGTGTTGCCTGAAACCTTAATTTTTTGGAGAAATCTGATTGCGGACCCCATAGGGAGTTTGATCTAGGCGTTCAGTGACTAAAAGACTTCTTATTCTTCATCTTGAAGATCGATTCAAGTTGCTTGGTGTTCTGTGAAGTCTACAAGGTGCGGCTAAGTTTTCTCTGTTTCTCCCGGGTTCCAGGTGTGATGCAGGTAGCAGGTACGGCTGCATAGAGGTTGACTCACAACACAGTTTTTCTTCTGTCTTCATTGATTGTTATTCGAAGTTATTTTTGAAGTATATTGAGAAGATGGACCCTTCAGAAGTTGAAAACAAGCATGTTGTTGAATCCGGACAGGTTCCGGGAGCCTTTGTTGATTCTTTACTGGCTGTGACCACAGTCAAGCTACATGGAACTAATTATTTGGCTTGGTCACAATCAGTAAAAATTCTTATCTGCAGTAGAGGCAAATGGGGTTTTATCTCTGGGAGCAAAAATGCTCCCACGGAAGATGACCCATCCTATGAAAAATGGATGCAAGAAAATTATGTTGTAATTGGATGGCTTGTGAAGTCAATGCAACCTCAGATTAGTCAACACTATTTGTGGATGAATTCAGCAAAGGAAATTTGGGATTGTGTTGCTGAAACCTATTCCCATAAATTAAATGTAGCTAGAGCATACAAGCTGAGGAGTGATGTGAAGAATTTGAGATAGGGGAAGAAACCTTTAGCTATTTATTTCTCAATACTGAAGTTTCTATGCCAAGAAATTGATTTGATAGAAGTTGTAGCCTGGGAAACCACTAATGATGTCGAGACCTACAGGAAACTTGTTGAGAGAAACAGGGTGTTTGATTTTTTGACAGTGCTGAAACCAGAATATGACATCACAAAGCAGAATATCTTATCCAAGGATAGCATTTCACTATCTCAAGCCTATGCCTTGGTAAGTAGTGAAGAAAGCAGGAGACTAGTCCAGGTTCAAGGGGTTGGTCTAAATGATCACTTTGCTAATATGGGAGTGAAACCTAAGGGAGTTACAGGCTATCCATTTGGCTCAAGGAAGAAAGAAATTATTTGTGAGTACTGTAAGAAACAAAAACACCTAAAGACAAGTGTTGGAAATTGCATCCGGAGCTTCTTCCTCTTCGTTTTCAAAAGAAGTCCGATAATATGAAGGCAGGGAGTGCCAATATTGCTGCTGGTCTAGATAGTGACAGATGTCTAACTAAAGAGAAGACTAGTGAGCAGTTAGCAACGATGAAGGCAGAGTATGAGAAGTTTGGAAGGATGATCAGTYACCTAGAGGGTGTGGCCTCTTCTTCCAACCCTCCAGGAAATTCAACCTCTTCTGCATTTGCTCATTCAGGTATATGGGCTTCTGCCAATCATGCAAATATTTTAGGTAATCGTAGGATCCCTTGGATTATTTATTCTGGTGCTTCTAATTATATGACCAATGTGGTCTCCGTTTATTTATTAGTCACTGTGGAGGGTTGGTCACCGTTTATTTTAAAAGCAAATTGAGGCAGATTGCTACTTTAAATAGGATAGAATATGTCAGGAGAAGTATATCTTCCTTTTCTTAAGACTGATCAGTAGTTGGAAGGTGTGTGTACCGAGGGAGTTAATAAATTTAAGCTACATTGTATTCTTGGAAAGATGGGATTGATTGGCATCTATGCTCAGCTTGAGGGGGAGTATTGAGGAATGAATGTTGTGCAGAGCAATGGTAGTATTGTTGAGTATTATTGCTGTTTTACTGTATTTTCAGTATCTTTCTTTCTAGCCTTGTGTCATAAAGCTATTTTATGGAGTCACAACCAGAGGTATACTGGTTATTTTACTCCTTTATTTGATTGCATATATAAATGGAATAAGGTTTCCCCTCAAACATTTTGCTCTCTCCACATCATTCTCTTCCCTTCCTCTTTTTCTCCATCTTTTATTTCTCCTTCTTCTCTTTTTTTGTCTTTTAATTCTATACCTAAATACTCAAGAATAAAAAATTCGATTTATTCAGAAATAATAAAAGCACAATTATTTAATTGAATGAATCATGTTGCAAAGGGATTTCTTGAGATTTTTATGGCAATACACATAAACACCAGACACCAGAATGAGGGTAGAAGGTGGGGGGAGAAGAAATCCAAAAGAAAATGTCTACTTACTGAGATTTCAGTCCATACCTTAAGCTAACTTCTGGACAATTAGTGATTCACATCACAATTTAAGTAGGTAAATCCTCAAGAAATAAGAAGTGAATAACTAGAACAAGTGAAAATTAGAATTGTTCTGGTAAGTAAAAAATTTGAAAATTGTTTTTAAATAATCATCTATTTCTGTCTTTGTCTATTCTTCTCAGAACCATGACATTGATCCAATAGCTTGGAAGCATTTGCCATTTCTGACCAGGAACTGTTGAGTTTCATATTCAAAGGAAAAAAAATTAGGTCCTTGGTTTCTTTTTGGGGGGAGTAAAAAGACAGAACTATTCAAGTATCATGATAAATTCAAGAAATAATTTTGAATAGTTCTTTTTAAGCATGTTACCATGTCAAGAGTTTTTGTCAGATATAGTGATAAATTGCAAAAATAATAATAACAATAATAATACTTTACTGTCCAAAATTGTGAACTTGTAACTTGAAATAGTTGCCTTTGAACCTTTAACCTATTCCTAGGATCAGAAAATTAAATTATGGGAAATAAAGATTCTTTTTGTCTTTCACCATTCCCATCAGCATAGCATAGTTACATATTAATGCTAAACTATTACTTATGGTATAAACTTTATTATATTATGTATATGATGTGAATTTCTATTAGTGCATTAGTTTGTTATTTCACCTTTGCACAATGTAAATTAAATTTATTTCTTGGTAGAGCTATTTCTCCTTTTTTATTTTTTTACTGATATAATTCATGGTAGAGTTTCTGTAAATATCTTACTTATTACAATGTTCTTTTCTTCACTATATTCTTTGTTTTTCCAATTTCCAGATCTACATGCTTGCAGAATGGTATAAACCAGGCTGCAAACTTGAATACCCTCTTAATGGAAGTGGGGCTGTTGTTGATGCTCTTATACGAGGTTTGCAAAAATTTGGTGGAAGGATTGCCCTAAGAAGTCATGTAGAAAACATTGTTGTTGAAAATGGTCGAGCTGTTGGAGTGAAACTACGAAGTGGCCAAGTAAGAAATCTTTGTGGCTTAAAAAGGCTGTCAGGCTATCTTTACTTGAACCTTCTATAACAGAGAAGAATGATTTCTGCAGTTTATACGTGCTAAAAAGGCTGTAGTGAGCAATGCATCTATGTGGGACACTTTGGATCTTTTACCGAAGGAAGTTGTCCCAAAATCATACCAGGATAGGATCAAAATGACCCCACAATGTGAATCATTCATGCATCTGCATTTGGGCTTTGATGCAGAGGTGAGCTGCCACAATATCTTATTCTGCTTTTTTACATGTATATTAGATTAAATAATCAAACTGGTGGTCATCTTTTATATCTAGTACTGAAACCTTTTTTTTTGTTTCTTCTTGATAATATTTTAATTTAGTGTATTTTAGATGGCCCTGCCTTTGTTAGTTTACTAGATTAGCATCCATTAACAGCAGGGAGAGCAGAAAACATTCCACACTCGAAAAGTTATAACAGTCATGGGGATGGTGGAGCGCTGCAGTACATGTTATTATTGTATCTGTTGGCACCTTTTGATCAATGGTCTGTGAAAGCTGAACTACTGTAGACGACGTTGCAGAAAAGAGAAGAAGAAGAAGAGATGCTGGAATGTCGAACTGGATAACCCATTCGACAGTACTATTATTTATATTAGAGTATAGTACAATGTTACAGAAAAAGACTGGAATGCCCCTGATTAGTGATGGGACACCTAGACAACTTAAAACACTAAACAAGCTTAGGCCCATTAACACAGGCCTAGTACATAATAACTTAAACTCAAATACAGGCTAACAAGAGCTCTTATCAGCCGAACCATCAATCATGTTTAGCTTGCCAAGAAGGTCCATGAACTTTGTTGCAGCCAACCCTTTAGTCAGTACATCTGCAATTTGCATTTCGGATGGAGTGTAAGGAATGCAGAGTTCTCCCGAGATTATTCTCTCTCTAACAAAATGTCGATCAATCTCAAATGTTTTGTCCTGTCATGTTGCACAGGGTTATTTGCAATGTTGATGGCAGCCTTGTTGTCACAATACAGTCTGAGAGGACCCTCAGCTTTAATACCAAGCTCATTAAGAAGGGTCCTGAGCCATAGRAGTTCAGCAACCCCGTGAGCCATAGCTCGATATTCTGCTTCTGCACTTGATCTAGCAACTACATTCTGCTTCTTACTGTGCCATGTGACCAGATTCCCTCCCACAAATGTACAATATCCTGAAGTTGATTTTCTATCTCCAACAGAACCAGCCCAATCTGCATTAGTATAAGCTTCAATTTCAATTCTATTGTTTTTCCTGAAGAGAATTCCCTTTCCTGGGCAAGTCTTCAAGTACCTGAGAATCCTTTCAACTGCTTTCATATGAGGGATCTTTGGAGAGTGCATGAATTGACTGACAACATGCAAAACATAA